CCGGCGGGGGGCGGGCGGGCAGCGCGGCGTCGGGCGCGGGGCGAGCGGAGCGGAGCGGGGCGCCGTGCTGCTCTGTCCGGACCCGTCCCGCTGCCCCGTCCCTGTGCCCCTGCCCCTGCCCCGTCCCTGTGCCCCTGGCGCGTCCCTGTGCTCCTGTCCCATCCCTGTGCCCCTGCCCCTGCCCCGTCCCTGTGCCCCGGCGCGTCCCTGTGCCCCTGCCCCGTCCCTGTGCCCCTGCCCCTGCCCCGTCCCTGTGCCCCTGCCCCGTCCCTGTGCTCCTGTCCCGTCCCTGTGCCCCTGCCCCGTCCCTGTGCACCTGCCCCTGTCCCATCCCTGTGCCCCTGCCCCTGTTCCGTCCCTGTGCCCCTGCCCCGTCCCTGTGCCCCTGTCCCTGTTCCGTCCCTGTGCCCCTGCCCCTGTTCCATCCCTGTGCCCCTGCCCCGTCCCTGTGCTCCTGTTCCATCCCTGTGCCCCTGCCCCTGCCCCGTCCCTGTGCCCCTGTCCCATCCCTGTGCCCCTGTTCCATCCCTGTGCCCCTGCCCCTGTTCCGTCCCTGTGCCCCTGCGCCGTCCCTGTGCCCCTGCCCCTGTTCCGTCCCTGTGCCCCTGCCCCGTCCCTGTGCCCCTGCCCCGTCCCTGTGCCTCTGCCCCGTCCCGCCTGCCCCTGCCTTGTCCCTTCTGCCCCTGCCCCATCCCTGTGCTCCTGCCCCATCCCTCCTGCCCCATCCCCGTGCCCCTGTTCCATTCCTGTGTCCCAGCCCCTTGCCTGTGCTCCTGCCCCATCCCTCAGGCCCCGGCCCAATCCCTCCTGCCCCATCCCTGTGCCCCTGCCCCTGCCCCATCCCTGTACACCTGCACCATCCTGCCTGTTCCTACCCCATCCCACCTGTGCTTACCCCATCCTGCCTGCCACTAACCCGTCTCTGTGCCCCTTTTCCATCCCTGTGCTCCTGTCCTGTCCCTCTGCTCCTGCCTCATCCTTGCCCTATCCCACTCCACCCACCCCTGCCCTGTCCCTCTGCCCCTGCCCTGTCCCTCCTGCCCTGTCCCATCCTTCCTGCTGCATCCCACCTATCCCATCGCTCCTGCCCCATCCCACCTGTCCTTGCTCTGTCCTGCCTGCACCTACCCCATTCCATCATCCCCGACCAGCCTTTCCAGCCTCCACCTCATCCTGCCTGCTTCATCCCTCCTGCCTCATCCCTCCTGCTCCCTGCCACCCCCTGCCCCATCCCACCTTTCCCACCCCATGTGCTCCCATCCCCAGCTGCCCATCCTGCCCGCTCCCAATGCAGAGCTGCCCGCAGCTGCTGTATCGTGGCCATCCCCCCGGTCTCTGGTCTGCAGCAGGCAAAGCATCCGCAGATGGGCTCTGCACGTGTCTCACACCCGGCCTTGGAGGGTATAATTCCTCCCAAAGGCCTCTTGGAGAGGAGAACTCCCAAGGAGAACCCATATTCATCTCCTTGTTTCCTCGAGGTTTGGGTGGATGCATTGTGTGCCTGGCGAGGTCTGCAAGAGCAGCGCGATTGGTAAAGACAAAGATTGCCCCCTTAGCTCTAAAATAGTCATTAAAAAAAAAAAAAAGCTCCAAGTATTTAAAGCCTGAAAGTGCGTATTGTTATTAACCCCAGTCTTAAAGGCATTGAACAAAATGGGGGACGTGTCAGTTTCGTGTGCAGTGTGAATGAAAATAGTGGACATGTGTGCTTTCAATATATTTTGTAATAGAAACTCCCCAATAGTTTTAATATGGGACTTGTAGTGCAAAAAAAGCAGAACTGTTGGCACTTTCAGGGCTTAAGTTAATGAAGTAAGGAAGCCTTCCAGGTTTGGACACTAACTCTCTGAGGTGCCCATTACGGTGTGTGAAGCTGTTGCATGGAAAACTCCTTCCTGAGGCATCCTATTTGTTTTAATTAAAGATCCTCCAAATCGGAAAAAAAAAAAAGCTAGAAATCTTTTGTAGGAATAAATAGAAAAACAGGAGAGGTCAAATGCAGGGGAACAAGTTACACCACTCCACAAATCAGAGTGTGCTGGCTGAAATGATGATGTAGGTTATCTCTCTTAATTCAGATCTTTTTTCCACAATGTATTTCTTCATCTTTGTTCTTGGTTCAATAGTAAAAGTTTTTACCATTTCAACAATAATAGTCATTATTAGGCTCCATATCCTTTCAGGATGCATGGAGATGCTTCCAATTTTTATTTCTTTTTCTCTTTTTTTTTTTAAATATTTTTTATTTTATTTTTAATAGCCAGTAAACCTGACATTGTGTCACCCTGAACTAGATACATCAATCATTTGCAAATGGACAAAAATGAGAGTAGAAAACTGCTTTAAGGATTTTATAATGTGGGACATCCACTCTGAAATGGCATGTGAGAAAATACCACGTGCACAGAAACAGGCAAACTGGAGAGCAGCTGTTTCAGGATCTTTGCAGACTTAGGCAGCCGCTGTTTCTTTGCATTTGCACTATTCTAACTTAACACTGTTTATTTATTTATTTATTTAGACTCAGAGAGCCAAACCTCTAGATCTTGGCTTAAATTCATGTTCAGAATGAAGATCAAACTTCCTAGCTATTCAGAGAGAGCAAAGATGCCCTTCTTTACTTTTTCTAGGAAAGCTTAGTTCTCTAGTACAAACTAACTGGCTTCAGAAAATGGTGACTGAGACCAAACCTTCACTTTCCTGCTTTTTTTCTCTTAGATGTGATGCTGTATTTCTAAATAACATGGATTTGATGAGAAGATTGAGATCAGAAATGCATGAGACGCATCTTCTCATATTAGGCCATGCTAGCGCATGAAGGAAAACCATTATCTAACAAAGAATATAGTAGTTACAATCTTTATTTTATTTATAATGCTTTTCTATTATCACAACGGGAGGAAAGATGAGCTGCCGTTTGCCAGCCCCACAGATACTCCTATAGTCACGGGAGCAGGAACTAAGGATGTGGTGTATTTCTTTAACATCTTCCCAGAAAATCCCTCCTGTGCCATAGGATGTTCAAGGAGTGACTTTGCCCGTGCAAGCTGCAGCCTTTCCAACCAGCATCGCTCTTAGCAGCCACGTGCTAAGCACAGCCACATTTTTGTGCCTTGGGACAGGATAAACCAGCCCTCTATTTGACTGTATGTATTTCTGGGCTTGGGTTAGCATTCGTACACACGACCTAGATCAAACTGTTATAATACATCCTTTGTGGTGTGGAGATGGGCTGACGGATTGGTTCGGTGTCTCCTGTTTGACTATTCTCGGTTCCTTTTAGATACCAAGTCCCCAAATAAAATAAATAAATAAATAAATAAATAAAATAAAATTCACTTTCTGAAAGACGTGGCTCTCGAGCATGCAGACAATGCGGATGGAGATGCTGCTTGGCTCTGTTTTTGCACTGGTGGGAAAGGCATTCTTTGTGGCGAATTACTAATGGAAAATAGGGAAAGAGGAAGGACAAAAGGAATGCTCCATGAAGACTTTCGAAGTAATTTATACTTTCACATAGAAAGCCACATCCGAGAGCTGTTAACAGAAACCTATGAGAAAAAAACTGTATTTTTTTTAGGGAGTAAAGCCCCGTTGAGGGCTTGGGTCTTGTTTGCTCCCCTCCTTGGTGAAAACAACTTGAGCATGTGCTAAAGCTTGTGTGCTCCTGCACTCGGAGCAGTTGCATGGAGAAGAACAGGCGAGGTGTGCGGAGAGGCTGGGAGGAGGTGCAGGGCAGGTCCCGAAGCAGGCGTCCCCAGCCCCAAATTTGCAGCCCAGACCTTCTGCAGGGGGTTGTTCTGGTAGCAGACCTAAGGCTGGACCACAACGGGCTCGTCCGGCAGCCTCTGAGCCACCTCGCACTGATGGGCGGCGTGAGGGAAAGGCACCTTGTACATCAAGCACTGCAAGGCCTGGGTGAGAACTGCCTCAGAGCAGCTCTGCACACACCTTTGACAGCCCTTCTTCAAAACAAGCAGGCTGGTCATTCACCCTCTATCAAAAAAACCCTCTTTTCAGACCCAACACACATTTTAAGTGTCATGAAAGTTAACCATGAGGATTTGCTCCCGTTTGAAATTATGGAACAGATATCATAAAGCTGGTAATAAAGGAGGCAGAGAGCGCTTTCTTCATTTGGGTTGAGCAAATCTGCATTTGAAAGGAAGTTTGCTTAGAAGGATTGATGTGGACTTCAGAGATGCAGAAACACAGAGCCCCAATTATGCCTCCAGATAAAAAGGGTTAGTGAACTTTGTAGTATGTTACTGTATGAAAGCGCTAGGTCATCTGGAAGGGAAATATGGGGAATATATTACAAAGTGAAGTGGTTACATGTAATTACCAAGCATAGTCAGCCAGAAGGCAAAAATAAAGGGGAAAGAGGGGAACTCTGTTCTCTAAACATGTCTTAATAATAGTAATCTCAATGTGAATGGAGAGAGAAA